GGTGTTGGACATATGGGTTAATGGGTTAATGTTGGACTTGTGGGCTTGGGCAGCACTGGGTTGGGATGTTTTCGTGATGCACAGTTAACCATTATATAAAACTTTCTTTTACACGAGTTTCTGTGGATTTGTTTCTCTAAAGTACCCAGACTAATACAGGTCCTAACAGCTCTTTTTGGAAGGCCGCCAAGCTCTATCCTTCTGGCACAGAACCCGGTTCAGCTAGAGGACAGGGCACAGACTTCCTATTGCCCAAGCAGCATCAGGCTGCACGGGGTATAGAGTCTGATTTCTGGCCCTTTAGTGGGTAGCTCTCAGCTTTAAACTGGTCAGATGCTTTATCGGTATAGAGGAGACCAAAATGGTATCTAAGCCTTAGCTTCTAAGGGAAAAACAGAGTGGAACACATCCTGGCCCACCAAGCCCCAAGGATGATATTCCTGCTCAGAGCAGCCAATGCACAGAAAGGACCATAGGGCCGGCCCCACCATGAGACACGTCCCTCACTGACCCATAGCGCTACAGAGGGACAACACTGGAGACACTGTGCAGGAATTGTACCCCATCTGACCCCACCACACCGGGGCGAAATATTAAGGGCGTGCAATTGAGCAGCAAGGGGAGCAAAGCAATGAAATCCCCAGGGAATACCAAAAATAGGCTTTGGGGACAGGGGGAGACACTCCATCAGATTCGACTGGAAAACACTCCTAAGGGTCAACAGACCTGGAACTATTTATGGGCTTTTCTTTTTTTGTGTCTTTTTTAATTTGTTTGTTTGGTTTGGTTTTGCTCTGTCTTGTTTTTGTGCCTATCATTGTCTCTGCATGTCTATCTAGATAAGGCAGGCGGAATAAACAATTTGGAGGAGAAAAAAATGAGATGGTTGGTGGGGGGTGCACAGGAGAGGGGGAGGCGGGAGAAAGGAAGGGGGTGTCAACAAACCCAGGGACAAGGGAACAAGTGATCTAAAATCAATGGTAAGTAGGGCATAGGATGCCTGGGGGTGCTTGATCAAGGGCAATGTAGCCAAGAGGAATTACTGAAACCTGAATGAAAGCTGAATATGATAGTGGGACAAGAGGAAAGAACTAGCAGGCAAAGGGCATTTATAGAGGTCTAAATACAGGCATGTACATCGGTAAATATTTTTATATGTAACAATAGGGAAATGTGCATATATTTATATGGTAAATATTAAGATAGCAGATAAGACATTGGACCTCTACTCAAGTACTCCCTCAACTCAAGAACACTTTGTTCTAATAACCTGGCATTCTGTGATGCTCACCTTCCCAACATGATCATTGAAGACAAAATGGGTGCATAAGCAAATGTGGTGAAGAAAGCTGAGGGTGTCCAGCTAACAAGAGATATAGTGTCTTGTGGGGGGAAGTCAGATACTTGCT